ACTTAACAGATAATATCTTTTTTTTTAAACTACTGTACTATTATTATTATTAATTTTAATGAAAATTTACAGAGATTTTGGATTTCCATTCATTCATTGTTGCACTTTTCTCCCTGCCCAGAAAAATTCTTTCATTGTTAAATAATAACATCTTGAGAGTAGCTAATGTATAAATATCCTAAGAACTGAAGCAAACTGTTTAGAGAACTTAAGAATGTGAGAACATCAAATAAATACCATTGTATAAAAACAGACAAATGAGAATTCCACATATGCAGAGTGTAATAACTGAAATAAGAATTTACTAAGGGGACTCAATAGCTGATTTGATGGGCTGGGGGGATAATAATGAACAAAATTACAAGTAGAGCAGTAGAAGTCATCCATTGTGAAAAAGGAATGAAAAAAGTAACTGTTTTTTTTAAGAGAAAAAGTCTCCTTATGTATCTGGTTTTTTCCATTGTTTTGGTATCACAAGAGGGAGTACTGGTGGCACAGCCTACAGCACATTGCACTGCTAATCTAGAGGCTGCTTGCTCTGGCAGTTCAAATCTACCAGTGGCTTCTTAGGAGAAAGATCAACCGTCTCCTCCTGTTGCGATTTACAGCCATGGAAACCCGTGGAAGGATCATGCTGAGTTAGAATTGATGACATACTTCTGAGGTTTTGAGTTGAAACCACAAAGATTTTCTCTATGTGCCTTTAACATTTATTTAATATTTTATTTCTAAATATATGTCCATTTTAAAATGCAATTCTGTTACTTATCTATTCCTTCTTCAATTCTACAGAGTTGTGACTATAACTTTATTTTTTTGGTTTGGTTTGGTTTGGTTTGGTTTTTTTTAAATTTTAATGAACATTTACAGAGATTTTGGATTTCTGTTCATTCATTGTTGCACTTTTCTCCCTGCTGTAACTTTATTTTAAATATTAAAATTTGGTAGTGTGAGCCTTCCCATTTTGGTCTTAAATCCCAACAATTCAACTCATTGTGATTAAGTCAGAACTGACTCATAGCTGACACTGCTGTGGGCTTCCAGTGCTATAGATTGCACAGAGGAGAGTGCCCGTCTTTCCCTGGGAGCCACTGGTAAATTAGAGCTGTCAGAGAGGCTAAACCTTTGCTTAGCATTGAAAGTCCTAAGGATGAGGTCATGAGAACTCTGGCTATTCTATATTCTTTGCCTTTCAGTTTAAATTTTAGACACCAGCTTGTTTATGTGTACATAGAAGACCTATTTGAATTTTTATCAGAATTGTGTCTAGTCTGTAAAACTGGAGAAAAACTGAAACTTTCCAACACATGAACATAGCATATTCTAATCAAGTATGAGATATCATCTCACCCCAGTCAGAATAGCAAAATTTAACAGAACAGCAAGCAACAAATGCTGGCGAGGTTGTGGAGAAACTGGAACCCTTATTCACTGTTGGTGAGAGTGTAAAATGGTGCAACCACTGTGGAAGGCGGTATGGCGCTTTCTCAAAAATTTGCAAATAGAGATACCATTTGACCCAACAATTCCACTACTGGGAATGTATCCTAAAGAGACCATAATTGACATCCAAGCAGATATATGCACACCCATGTTTATTATGGCTTTGTTCACAATAGCAAGGAGTTGGAAACAACCCAGGTGCCCATCAACAAACAAATGGATAGAGAAGCTGTGGCATATTCACACAATGGAATATTATGCTGCATTGAAAAACAAGGAACTCATGCAGTATTATTAAAAATGGGTAAGCCTGGAGGACATTATGCTGAGTGAAATATCTCAGTCGCAAAAGGACAAATATTGCATAGTGCCACTGCTGTAAAATGGGACTGATATCAGGGTTGGGGTAAGACCTAGAAAAACTGGATAAATTGTGTATACTGCACTGAAACAGATGAGGGAGAGAATAATTTAAAAGCGATATATAATAGGGTATTATGGCTATCACAATAGTTCACAATTAAGGTTGCATAGTGGAATGTATTTGGGGCAGTGGGAGGGGTGTGGGGTGATTATGTACCAAGGAGAGAGTGTTTCTTTTACTTTTCAAAGCAAGGAGCGAACTGGGGGTGGGGAGGGCGGGGGGGGCCGGGGAGAGAAGTACAGCAATGAATGAATGGAAATCCAAAATCTCTGTAAATGTTCATTAAAATTATTTTAAAAAATAGCATATTCTACATTTATTTTAGTTACTTGATTTCATTTGTTCATCAGTGTCTTATCCTTTTCAGCTGGGTTATGTTATGTTCTGTACTGTTGAGTTGGAACCGACTCATAGCTGACCCTCCCGAGGGTTTTTCTGAGGCCATAAATTACACAGGAGGAGTTTGCCTGTTTTTCTCCTGTGGAACAGATGGTGTGTTTAAACTTGTGTCTTTGGGTTGGCAGCACAAATCCTTACCACTAATCCACCTTTTCCAGCATTTTAGACTGGTGTATATTTGTTAGATTTATAGATAAGTCATTTATGTCTTCTGTATATGTGTGCTGACACACATTACAATATTGTAATTTCCATTTCTAATTGTTCATGTTAATATATAGCAATAAGTTATTTATGTATTGGATCCTGTAATCTTATAGATGCTTATTAGTTACTTTTTTTAAGATTCATTAGGATTTCATTATAGACCATTTTCTACAAACAGAATATTTTAGGGTGTTTTATTTTACACTGTTCTGTCTTACACCACTGGCTAAGACCTTCAGTGTGACGTTGAATGAGGAGTGATGAGAGTACACAGTTTTTCTTAAGTTAGAGTGAAAAAACATTCTGTCTAAATATCAACGATGATTTTAGGTGTAGGCTTTTATCGGGTTAAGGATGTCTCTTTTTCTGGTTTGTTGAGTTTTTTTTTACTGTGACTGGATGAGAAGTCCGCAGAGTCATTTTCTGTGTCTTTTGAGAAGATACTTGTGCTTTTTCTTCATTGTTGTTAGGTTTCGTCAAGTTGGTTCTGACTCACCAGAATGAAACCCTTTGCCCTCCACTCTACTGTGCTTGAGTCTGCTGTTGTCATCACTGGATCAATTATTTTGAGAATGTTCATCTTTTTTTCACTGACTTTCTACTTTCCAAGCAGATGCTGTTCTCCAGGGATTGGTCAGACATGTTCAGAGTTGGTGAGACACAGTCTTGCCATATTCATGTCTCAGGAGCATTCTTCTGGCGATACTTCTTCTGAGCAGACCTGTTTATTGTTTGGCAGTCCATGCTCTAGTCAGTGTCCTTGGAACACCATCGTTTAAAGGCATCAACTCTTCAGTCTTACTGTACTTTGTCCAGCTTTTGCATGCTTATGAAGCAGCAGTGGCATCCACTCCCTAAACAACATGTCCATGGAAACGCTATGAACTCTGATAAACGACGATAGTTACAGAAAGGCTTCAGGCCTTTTGTTCCTAGGGTCTCTATGAGTTGTGCTTGACTCAACAACAGTCAACAGCATGAGGCTTGGATAAGGCACACTGTTGTCTTCAATGTAACTTCCTTGCCTTTTTTTTTTTTTTAATTTAGGTATTTCCTTGCTTTTTAACACTATAAAAAGGATCTCTCGTATCAGATTTTCCCAGTGCAATAATATACCATTTGATTTCTTAATTGCTGTTTCTGTGGGTGTTGATTGTGGACCCAACTAAAAAATCCTTAACACCTCAGTCCTTTTTTCCATTTATCATAATGTTTACTGGTCTGGTTGTAAATTTGTTTTCTTTATGTTAAGGTGGATTCCATACTGAAGGTTAGTCTGTGGTCTTCATCCATAAATGCAAGTCCTCTTTGCTTTAAGCAAACAAAATTGTGTCATCTGCTGATGGCAGTTTTGATGATTGTTCTTTCAGTTCTGCTGCTGCATTTTCCCTTCATTCACTCACTGACACTGCTTTTGAGTCAAAAGCGACTCACAGCTGACCCTCCAGCAGGTTTTCAGAGGTTATAAGTTGCATGAAAGGAGACTGTCCACCCTTCTCCCAAGGAGCAGCTAGCTGGTAGATTTTTTTTTAATTTTTTTTTTACTCCTGCACCAGTGAGTTTTACTGACAATGGGACAGTCAGCATTTAAATCCCTCCTTAATGCCATGTTACCCCATTCACAATACAAACCAAGCACAAGGCTTGGGTTGAGGTGTATATGGGGTCTTTCACTCTGCCTCCTGTTTCTATACAGTCAGTGCAAGAACACAGCCTGTGGTAAGCTTAAGGAGGCCTAGCTGGTAGATTTGAACTTTTCACCTTTGAGTTGGCAGCACAGCTCCTTAATTAGTAGGCCACAAGTACTCCCTGCATTTTTCCTTAGCTAATATTGTGAATTGTGCTAATTGATTTAAATATTGAAGCAGCCTTGCATTTCTAGGATAAAGTATTAGTTCTTTCTTAAATTTTTATTAAAGTGCTTGACGTTTTCTTTGCTGAAAATTTTGTACATGACATCAGTTTCCTTAATAGCTATGACTTAATAGATATTACAGGACTTTTTTCTACAAGTGATCTTTAGTATTTATACTTTTCAAGACATTTGTTCATTTAATCTAAATTGTTAATATTGGCATTTATTAATTTCTTTCTAAACGGAAGTGGTTGCTTATTCCACAGTGTTCATGTTTTGGCAGAAGGATTTTATCCATTCCACCAATTTAAATTTGCTCAGCAACATAATGTTGTGATTAAAAGTATACTGTTAACAGGTTCCATTTAGTCAACTATAAATCCTCGTGACCCTGTGAACAACAAACTGAGACCTTATCTTTTATTACTTTTTATCCATTTTAGCAACTCTGAATTTTATGTATTTGAAATTAAATGTTCTACTTTTTTGCCCATACGCAGTAGTAAAAGATTAAAACAATAAATTTAAGGTGCTTGAGTAAAAATATGTCACTGTTTTTAAGATCTTATGCCATTTTCATTTCATTAGAGCCTTGAAATACAATTTTCTATGTGTTTTGACCAATTTAGTAGAGATCTGTGTTATAGAAATTTTTTTTCATTTCTATTTTAGGTGCGTATAGCAGCAAAATTCATCATTCATGCCCCTCCAGGAGAATTTAATGAGGTGTTTAATGGTGAGTGCTAAATTCCCAACACTAAAACTTTCTGTACCAAACTCTTGTTTCTTAAAGGAATCAGTTCGATAGCCAAAATAATTGATCCAAGAGAAGTGTATAGAAATGTCTTTTTTGCTAACTTTATTTGCAAATTTCATAATTGAAATTTCTTTCAATTTTGATTTTGAAATGATTGAAATAAAATGTACTTTAATAATATATAATTGTATTTGAAGAAATTAATCCTTATAATTTAATAACTATAATCATAAGACATTGACTGTAGTTTCATTCTTGGGAATTAGTTTCTTTTTGGTAAATTTTATTTAAGTTACACAACAAGCACATATCGTACCTGTATCTTTAATAAAATATTTAGATAATTTTAGAAAGAAGAAATTATCTTCATTTTAATGAGTTTTTTTTTTAATTGTAAAATGCATTATTGTCCTCATTTTAAAGCAAATTCTCTTAGATCAATCTAAACATCCAAAAATGAGAGTGAAATGTCGTTTTACCCTGCTTAGGAGATGACAGCACATGTGAAAACAGCTTGTTACTTAAATTATATCTTATAAGTCACTTCATAGTGTGTCTTTCTTTAAACGTCATTGGTAAGCATATTCATAATTCACTTACTCAATCACTTACTCACTCCATTGGGTTTCCAAGGCTATAAATCACATAGAAGGAGATTGCTAACACCCCACCAGAGAGGCATGGTTTTGGATTAGCAGTGTAACTCCCCAAAGACGAAGCCAATAGAGTTTATAACTAGCCATCCATAAAAACCAAAGTCCCGTTACTGTCAGGTTGATTCCAATTAATAACAGCCATATAACGGAGAATAGTACTACCCTACAGAGTTTGCAAGGCAGTAAATCTTTGAGGAAGCAGACTGCCAGCTTTCTCCAGTGGGGCTGCTGTGGGTTTAAATTACCCACCTTCTAATTAGCACTTGGACCACTGCATCAGGACACCTTAGTCATCCATAGACCAGAAGTTTAAGTACAGTCTCCAGGTTGCTATAAAAACTGTAACAGTAAGCATGGTAGTATGAATGATAGAGGTAAAACATTTGCCAAGAAAATGGCCTGTAGTGATCTTACTTAAAAACTTTTTAAATACATGTTAGGATAAACTAAGGAGAGATTAAAAACTTGAGGAAGAGTTTGATTTCAGAGTTTGAATTGCTTATTATTATTTATCACAATTTTTCACAGATATAATGAGATATATAAAAATTAGGATAGAAACTTGTTTAGTGAAATTATAGGAGGGTTTTTTTATGTTTTAAAGTACTTTAATTTTCCAATATTTATTTTTAGTGTCATATTTTAATGTTTAATAATTAAATACATATTGGGACAAAATTAAGAATCAACAACCAAAATAAGATCACCTCATCAAATAAGGCAAAGCTATTAATTAAGCTAAATAAATTCAGCTGTTGTTTAATATTATCTTCTGAAGTACAGAAATACCGACATTTAGAGTCTGTTCACACAAGTTTTTTCTTTTTTTGAACATTTTTTTTCTACAAGGAAAATTAACTTGAAATTGCCTGTAATATTGGCATAGTAGTAGCATAGTTCTGAATATTTCTGCAGACACCATCTATTGGGTATACCTCATGGGGACTTAATTCTGTAGAGATAAATTATAGTAGTACACTTGCATCTACTTTGGAAGAGGATTAAATCATTTGGATTTCATACCCTTTCCTATTTTTAAGCAAATACCTGTTTGGATGTTTCCTAAAGATAGTGGTATATATGGTTACTTTGGGAATGAGAACAGTGTTTGATCATGATTGCATTTGAAGGAGGGGAGCATTGATAAATTGATTTTTAAAAAACAGCTTTTACTCTTTAAGCATAGAAGAATGAAATAGGAGGCATAATAATAATGTTGTTTTTACAGATGTCCGGTTACTGCTTAACAATGATAATCTTCTCAGGGAAGGAGCAGCCCAGTAAGTATTATATGTAACATAAGTAAAATTACACGAACGTGGTTTCGGGGCACTAACCTTTGAAATAGATATTTACACAATAAGTTCAAATTATGTAATTATGTAACCTACTGCAGTCTTTTTGTTAAAAGGGAAACAAGAGACACAGTTCTAACAGTAGAATCTGTATGTGTGTGGCTTATGTATTGTGTTAATACTACTTTATGAAATGCAAAGTTGGATAAAATTACTTTAAAAATACTCTTTTTTAAAAATTGTGATTGCATTAAATTTTATGTAGATTCTACTTTTTCAGTTATATGTTTTACCACAATAGATCGTTTGATCTTCGAGGGTTGAAAGTTTATTTATCCTTAAAAACTAAAAATAGTACCTTACAATGTAACTTATTTTGCCCATTTTCTAAACTTGAGTGATTCAAAGAGTAACCAAACTGAAATGAAAATTGCGCAGGATTTGTCTCTTGGAATAGCTGGTGGTTTCAGACTGTTGACCTTTCTATTAACAGCTGAGCATTGAACTTCTTGACCACTAGGGATCATCCTAGAGTCATTGAGTGACTCAAACTCAGAGTGTTTGAGTCAGTTCCAACTCATCAAGACCCTCCCTCAGGTTTCCTAAGACTAAATTGCAACAAGAGATTGTCCAACTTTTCACACAGATCCACTGGTGGATTTGAACCCTTTTAATACTTGCAGCAACTTTTGGGTTAGCCAAGCAACAAACTACAAACAGTACCACCATATTTAGAGAAGAGGCAGTTCAAGTCCTGATACGTCATTTTTTTAGCCACTGATCAAAGTTTTGTCTAAGACTTCCACAACTTTCTTAGAATTCCGTGGAAATAAAAGAAATGCGTTTTCTTCTTTCTAAAACTTTATTTTATGCCACTTTGTTTTTATGAAAAATCTATTTCAGTACCTGTTTTTGCTAACTGAGAGAAATCCAAGGATTTTTATTTCTAAAATAAAGTGGAAAGTCAAACTAATGTTTAGTGTATTTTTGGCAGCAAGCCATTATCTAGGCAGCGATCACTCCAGGAAGCACTAGTGGAGCTTCCAGCTCCTTCCCCAGGGAATACGCAAGCTGGCATAGCTTTGCAGTGTGTCTTTGAATACTGTATATTAATATTATTTTGGGTTTTTTTTATGTTATTTGGTAGTTTAATTTTTGTTTCTGTTAATGCTTAAACATTTTCCCCATATAAAACTACTCTGTATGTCATTTCAGCTTACTAAAGTTTTCCTAGGAATGTTCTTGTTTCATATAGTGGGAGAAACTTTTAAATTATTATTGTCCTACTACCTTCCAGAATAAGGTCAAAATAACTCATGGCTCTGACCCTCCGTTGTGTTTCTGAGGTTTTAAATTGCATGAGAGGAGATTGATTGATTGCCCATCTTTGATTGATTGCCTGATGGTGGATTTGCACCATGGGGGCATAGTCTTTGGGTTAGAATGTGCAACTCCCTACAGATCAGACTGCCAGAGCTCTAAAAAAGGTCTAGAGAGCCATATTATAGGCTCACCATTAGTTAGTGGAACAGATTTTTAGTTCCTTACAATCAATGTTTATCTCCAGGCAGACAGGTACTTGTCCTCATGGTGTCGTTTTAAAGACTAAGGTGTGCTAGACCCAAACATGGTTTTTGTCAGTTATTTCACATGCATGTGAAAATTGGTTGGTGATGAAGGGGCAGACCAAAGGAGAATTGATACCTTTAAATTATTGCATTGGCAGAGAATGTTGATTATACCGTCAACTGCCAGAACTGTCTTGGGAAAGTGCAGCCAGAGTGCTTACTATCCGTAGAGATGAGGATAGCAAGACTTTGTCTCGAACTTGGGCGTGTGTCAGGAAGGGGGAAGGACATCACTGTTAGATAGCAGAGCGTTAACAACAGCAACAGATGTTGGGAAAATCCTGATGAAAACCCTTATGATATGATCTGTGGATGACTAATAGTAAATGGTATCCATATCTAAACGTAGCAACCAAATAGCTTAGGAATGGTTGACGGGGCCACAGAACTACACAAAGGCACAAAACATGGTTTCCCATTCACTACTAAAGTGTTTGGCAGATAGTAATAAGAGCTTAGTAAAGTCTTTCTAGGAAAGACTTAGTAGTTATTTCTATTCTTCAGTGAGCATATAAAAATAGTTGCATAGATGGTTGGAGGAATGTCTGATGAGTAGATGGATGGAGTGAACATTCTGAAATGCCTGGGGCTTTGGAGTCATCTCAACCAAATCTCTCTTTTTGTAGATGAAGTAAGTACTGCCCATACTGTCTAATGACAAGGTTGAAACAAAGTCCAGATTCTCTGACTCCTAGATTAGTGAGTACCAAGATTTTTAGTCCAGCCTGAGACCAAATTACCATCCAACTATTTTAATTTACTGTTTAAATACTGCCTTCACAGGAAAATGAATCCTAAATTACAAGTAATTCTGTTTCTAACCGTACTCTTAGAGTAAAGCTCATTTAATGGTTAATAGCTGCCTGGCTATAGTGATGCTATTCTTGGGAAAATGATAGTCTCAATGAATTAAAATAAAAGATGAATGGCTACTTTCTCTATGCAATTTTGTATTCATCACCATTCTTTTTTGAGCATGCCTTGTCAAGAATTTGACAGCTAGCAATTTATTTCTGTCTTTTTTACATTTACTCTTCCTCTGCTAACTTGCAGTGATCCTTGCTTGGGCACAGTTCTTTCTAGGAAAGATTTAGTGGTTATTTAAATTCTTGAGTGGGAATATTTCTGTCCAGAGTCATTTGAGGGAAATTTCGGCTGGATTAAGTTTAGAAATGTTTCCTATGTTTTCAGATTCTCAATTTCATTTCTGTTAAATTGAAAAAAAAATCCAATTTATAGATACCATGAAATATAGTATGCTCTTTGTATTTTTTTTAATTAGAAGGGATTTTTCCTACAACTCAATTATGATGTGATTATTATGTGATCTCCTATTAATACATTGTTTCTTAACCATGGGAACAGAACCCAAAACCAAACTTGCTGCTCTTGAGTCACTTTCAACTCCTAGCAACCCCCCAGAACTGCCCGCAGTGTTGTAAATCTTTACCAAAGCACACTGCCTAGTCTGTCTTCTGCACAGGAGCTGATGGATTCGACTGGCAGCATTTTTTTTAATAGTCCAGTGCTTAATACACTGTGCCATTAGAGGTCCTTCATGTAAGGTTCTTGTGTGCTGTCAAGTTGGAACCGACACATAACTGATCCCTCAGGAGGTTCTCAGAAGACATAAATGACATGGGAGGAAATTGCCCATTTCGTCCCCAGTGGATCCAGATCACCTTCCTTTGGATTGGCAGCACAGCTCCTGACCCATCAGGCCACCAGAGCTCCCTGTGTAAGAGTGGAGAGAGGCTTTATTCTTGTTTGCTTCCTTATATGGGATTCAAAATCCACTTGTAGCAGCACATGCTAATTGATACTCGGCAGTTCTGAGGTGATGGTCTACCTGTTTGTTCTCTGTGACTCTGGTTGCTCCAGAGTCGTTATCTAGAGTCCTGTCCAGCTCCTTATCCTAGTTGGTTTTGGGTGTCACTGAATCGTCTCCAGTTCATAACAACCATGTATGACAGTGGAATTGCTTCGTAGGGTTTTGTAAGTGGTATTCTGGGTGGAAGCAGATCTCTGGGCCTTTGTCCTAAGGAGCCGCTGGGTGGGTTCAGACCACCAACTTTCCGGTTAGCAGCCGAGCTCATAGAACTATTGTGCCACCAAACTGCGTTCTTACAGACTCTTGTTTTCTCCCCTTTCTCAAGACTTTCCATGCCTCTGCTTTGCTTCCATGAATTTATTCCATCATTTGTTGAATCAGAGCTGACCCTCCAGTGGGTTTTCAGAGGCAGGAAATTGCACGGGAGACTGTCAATCCTTCTCCCATGGTGCAGCTGGTGGATTCGAACCATGTGCCTTTGAGATTGCAGTGCATTTTCTTACCACTGCGCCACCAGAACTCCCTGATTCCATCAAGTAACTTGAAACCCAGACTGAACTACTGTATGCCAGACATTGAACTTGGATGTTTTCTATGATGGATCTAGCCTATGAGTATATCTTAATTTTCCAAATATCTAGTTCATGAAAACTTTTCTAGCCCGCTTTACTGTTTATTATTTTTCGATAAGCTTTTTTGCTCATGCAGTTCATTTTAACTGAAAGATACTTAACTTTCCCTTCTTCCGTTTCTGTGAGACAGTTTTTCAAAGGCATTTTCAGTATCCCCTCTATTACTAAATGATCCCTGGTTTTCTTTTAACTTTTGTGTCCGTTTTCTTTATGTTCTTCAGTATGTATTATCGATAGTTCTTTTTGTTAACTTTTTGCTTCTGTTCATCTGCAAGCCCTTTGGCCCTGGGTGCTTTCTGTTTTTTCTTTATTTCTCTCACAGTGCCTCATCTGTTTTCTGATACAATACATGCTAAATGTATCCTGAATAAGTGGATGTGTGTGTCTTACTGATAACTATACTTTCTAGACCTTGAATAAAAAGGCCAATTATAATCCTAATTCAACTTTACATTGCTGAGTGTTAATTAATTTTAAAGATAGCCATATCCGTATAATGGTTATATCTATGATAAGATCAGCAATGGAGAATTACTCTTTTACTTGCTTTTGCAACGCAAAAGTTTTATTGGCAAGTGAACTGTTTGAATTTCATTTGTAAATGTATAATTTTAAGTAATCGCTTTTTTGTTTTTCAGTGCATTTGCACAGTATAACTTGGACCAGTTCACGCCAGTAAAACTTGATGGTTATGAAGATCAGGTATGTTTCATGTTAATATAGGATCTCAAAATACTTTGTTTCATTTCTAATGTTTAATGTATCATACCTAGATGAATTATGAAGTTCTATGTTTAAAAAATTTTAAGAAAACCCCAAACGTCCATTTTAATTGTACTACTGAATTCCAACTTTTAGCCTGCTAAACTGAGAAAATAAATTTATGTTTGTTAAAGCCAACCTCTTGTATTTCTGTGACAGCAACACTAGATAACTAAGACAGCCACTTATGGGAAAGAAATTAAATATTTAGTTGCTATAGTTTAAGCCAATAATACTGTTAATAGGAAATTTTTCTTAAAAGTGCTCTTAGAACACATTTAAGATTTTATAAAAGAAATACTTTAAGTAAACTTTCTTGTTTTTTATAGGCAAAAATATCAATCCTATAGTTATACCAAATTTAGAATATATGTTAATACGTTTTCTATCATAATTTTGTTGCTCTGGAATTTCTTCAATCCTTCATGTGAGTAATTTAGCTTATAGTATTATTAAATCTTTTCTTTCTAAGATCTGGTTGGGCTTCCAAAGCTAAGAAAAACCACAAAGTGTTACAAGCATTGTTGGCTTTTTTTGTTGTTGTTATTTTTTGTTTTCAGAGTTTTGAATAAAATTATATTGTGATTACATTAACTCATAAGATGCTTTCCTGAAGCACAGTTTATATAAAACAATTTAAGAAAGAACTGATGATGGAACTTAGAGAAAGTAGTACCAGTTAGTCCTTACTGGCTGAATTTTATCAGTGCTTCTTTTTGGCATGAGTCATTATGTATGTAGTACTGTATAGGCAGTCTCAAGATTACAAACAAGTTCTGTTCTTAAATTGATCTTTAAGTCAAATTCATTACAGTCAGGTACAGTTTGTCTCTAACAGTTTATCATATGCTTATTGTATTTAGTGTATAGTGTACCTTCTGTGTGCAGAACACACCAAGGAAATACTTGCAGATAGACTGAAACATCTTTCATTTAATACTGGTTGTGATAATGCTTTCATTTATGTTGCCAAGTATTGCCCATATGTTCTTAGAAACCACTTAAATATCTCTGGTTTTTTTACTATATTGGGCTTTTCAGAGGTTGGCTTGTAAGCCTTTGCTGAAAAGTCTTAAAGTGGCTTTATCAATAGAAGGTGAATTCTCAGCAGCAATATCTCATTGAAAACAAAACCCCTATGTAAAATAGATATAAAAGAAAACTTTTATAATATAAACAAGTACTATCATAAACTAGACACTAAAATATATTAACTTTTATACATAGATATGCTGGTTTATCACCATTGTTGTTTCTTGGAAGTGGAGGTATGGCAAATAAGACAATAGAATGAAAGCTTGCAATGCAGAAGATAAAAAAGAAAACTCTAGTGATATGATTTATATACTCAGAAATAGCAAGGTATTCATAGAATTAACTGCTCTGACTGGGGCTAAGGATACGGAGAAACCAAAACAAAACTGAGTTTAATAGAAAAAAGTTTGTAAGATGCCAAATGTAAGGTAAGTGTAAAAAAAGTTCGTTTTTCTTTATTTTCTTTATACACTAGGAATAAGCTTAGCAAGAAAGGCATAGGTTATGAAGAAAGTAATAATCTTAGAGTCTTTGCACAGTGAAAGGCACATCATATTTTACTCTTAGGAAGTATATATCAGTTTTCTTTAAATTAGTATTTAAATTTAATGTTTGAGTTAGAACCCTATTAGTATTTTTTTTTAAATAACAGAATAGCAAAAGATTCTTTACATCTTCTAGAATCAAGTCAGTATAGCATTGTGTAGACAGCTAGATCAATAGAATAAGCACAGAGGACTAGAATTTACTACCGAGTATATATGAAAGTATTTTTAACTGATGAAGTTTCTGTCCAGCCAGACTTCTTATTTATAAGTGATACTGGCATGACAAGGATGACAAGACGACTTGATGCCATTGAGTTATGGTGCTGAATAGCCCACGGACTACCAGGAAAATAAAGAGAAATAAAGAGATATACCTCAGGAAAAGTACAGCCAGAGTGCTCCTTAGAGGCAAAGATGGCAAAGCTTTGTCTCAGTTATTTGGGGCATATTGCTAGGAGAGGCTATTCCTTGGAAAGGGATATCATGCTAGAAAAGGGTCAGTAAAAGACAAGAAAACCCTCAACTATAAATGAATTGACACAGTGACTGTAGAAATGGACCCAAGTGTGTCTGATAAGATGAGGATGGCAGAGGATAAGAGAGGGTTCAGATCTGTTGTTTGAAGGGTCACTATGAGTCAGTTGTATTTGACTCAGTGACATCTAACAACAGCTTCGAGGAAGGACGTTAAGTTGGACCTTAGTCTCTCTCACACAATATGCAGAAATAAATGTCAAATGGATTAAAAACTTGGAAGATGACTAAAATCTTACATGAAAATTATATCCTATGTACTTATAGAGCTAGGGAAGACCTATCTTTCTAAATAAGATCAGAAATTTTTAAAGAAGGAAAAACGGACAGTATTTACTAGATAATACATGTACTTCTCACTTGTCAGTTATTACCTGACATTTCACATTTACAATAGTAAAGATACCTGTTCAACCATTTTGCACATTAATGTTGTATGTCTGCTGGTAGGTGCAAGGCAAAAGTGATGCTGGCTCTGGTGGTTCAGGTTATTGGCACAGTTGTTAGGCTTGCTCTTTTTTTTTTTGCATGATGCTGATTTTCACCTAACAGCTTGGTTTTGGGAGCCTAGCCATGTTGATAAGTGACCCTTTATTGTTCACTCACAACCGCCTGGCATTCTCTTTGGAGGCAGTGTACTCCAGGTTCTTAATGGATCAGAATTGACTCATTGGCACTTGCAACAATATAGCTATATCATGGGTTATTTTTCTGACCTTAAAAAGGGTGAGAGACATAGAAGTAAACTTTTTATGTTTCTAGAAGGTAGTGTTGAGGTTGAAAAAAAATCCTAATGCTTAAAAATATGTTGGTATTTTTATTATTTAAGATTATGAACCAAACTACCCCTTTACATGTTTGTAGGTAAATATGAACGTGTCTGTATTTTTCTGTATAGGATGATAGGAGTTTGGAAAAAATTTATATAGATACATACTGTGTTATCAGCAGGATTTACATCAGATGGATAAGAAAAATGTACAAAAAAGTGTTTATGACCAAGGTTATACATTTTTAGTTATGTCTGTACATAAAACAAATACACTGTGTTTTAATGAAGAAATGCTCAAAGTCCCTAGCTCTAAGAGAGATGCAGATCAAAATAACTATGAGATATCATCTCTTCCTAGTAAGAATAGTAAAATTTAACAGAACAGCACACAACAAATGCTGGTGAGGTTGTAGAGAAACTGGAACCTGTTGGTGGGGGTGTAAAATGGTGCAACCACTATGGAAGGCTGTATGGCGCTTTCTCAAAAAGTTGGAAATAGAAATACCATTTGACCCAGCAGTGTTACTATTGGGAATATACCCTAAAGAAACCATAACTGCCACTCAAGCAGATTTATACACACCCATGTTTATTGCTGCTTTGCTCACAATAGCAAAGACCTGGAAATAACCCAAGTGCCCATCAACAAATGAATGGATAGAGAAGCTGTGGTATATTCACACAATTGAATACTATGCTGTATTGAAAAACAAGGAGCTCTTGAATTATTAAACAAAACGCGTGACCCGAGGGGGCATTATGCTGAGTAAAATCTCAGTCACAAAAAGACAAATACAGCATAAGGCCACTGTTATAAAACAGGACTGACATGGGGGCTAGGGAGAAACTTAAGAAAAGAGGAGATAAATAATCTACATGGCATTGAAACAGATGAGGGCGAGAACTCTATTAAAGCAATACAAATCAGGTATTAGTGGCATGACAAGAGTCCAGAATAAGAGTTGCATAGTAGAGTGGTCTGGGGTGGGGATGGGAGACGGTATAACAATGAAAGATCTTTTTTCCCCAAAGAAAAAAGTGATCTTAGGGGAGAAAAGGGGGCAGGGAGGAAAATGTGCAACAGTGAATGATTGGAAATCTAAGTTCTTTATAAACTTTAATTAAAATCTAAAAAAAAAACCAAAAAAAAAAACAACCGAACCAACCCAAATATACTGTGTTTTAAAATTTTTAGAAGTAAATAACTACCCATGAGTAGTTTATCGGAAAGCAGAAATGGTCACTCAGAGTATAGGTTGTGGGCTAAAGAACATTGGTGAAAGCACTGAAGAGGATTTTTCATTTTAAAATTTTAAAAAATCTTTTTTTAACCATCCTGGTTAAAGGTTGTTACCAATTAGTTCATTTGTTTCCAGGAACTGGCAGTAATAGAAATGGTAAATGATAAGTTGTTTCTCATTTTCAAGGAGGGAAAAAAACCCTGAGTCTAATAGTATATGAAAGGACATGCTTTTTCACTAAGTAGCTAGAAGATATATTGGGAAAAAATCTGATGTATGCTGAATGAAAATAGTTTTCTTTTTTTTAAATAGTTAACTTATTTGATATATTGTGGTTGCACCCCCTCCCTGTAAAAACAAAACAAAACAAAACCAAAAACCCCATTGCCATTAAGGTAGTTCCAACACAGTGACCTCCATGGGATTTCTGAAGTTGTCAGTTTTTGTGAGAGGAGACCATCTCCCTTTCAGTTACATGTTTTACACACTGCGAACACCAAGGCTCTTAGAGATAGGCCGGTATTCTTAAACCTGTTGCCTGGAGTGAACTGCTTTACAGTTTCAAGGAAAGCGTATATGAATGTATATGAATATGTAGATCAGTACTTTCATACCATTTTCAATTCTTTTTCTCTCCCTCTCCCCAATTTGTTCCACCATTGAAGGTATTAATAACAGAACATGGTGATTTGGGAAATGGAAAATTCTTGGATCCCAAAAACAGAATCTGTTTCAAATTTGATCACCTAAGAAAGGAAGCAACTGATCCAAGACCCTATGAAGCCGAGAATGCCATTGAATCATGGAGAACTTCCGTAGAAACTGCCCTTCGAGCTTATGTAAAAGAACATTACCCCAACGGGGTCTGCACAGTAAGTAGTGCTGTGGAGCTGCCGCTGTGGTTCCTAGAAATATGACAATGCTTTTGTGATCTTAAATCCATGTTGTAACTTGTCACTTTTTAATATGGAAGAATTTGACCAATTTTTTTAAAGAACTAAAATAGTGAATAGAATAGTTTAAAATGAAAATGGGGGAAAAAAAGTTGTATCTTGAATTAAATCCATAAAAGTTCTAATACATTGATTCTAAGAGCAGGATATTATGAGATTCTTTAATCACATGTTCATCATTCATCTCAGTAGGTTTAAAGCACAATTAACTTTTATTAAGTTGGGGACATTGAGGGACTATCTCCTCCTGTACCAGTCAGATCTAAGTTGACAGTATACATACAAAAATAATAATAATTTTTAAAAAAAGTTGGAGACATTGTAGAATAAATAAAATTATTTAGTAGTAGCATTATGTCTTCATGTGTCTTATAGTCAGATTTTTGGTGGATCTTTTAGCAGTGTAACTTCTGTTATTTTCAGAATAAAATGCCTTTTCATAAAGCTGCTTGCAGTCAGCCAGGCCTTTTAGTCCTTAGCTTGTTTCCCTTGACTTTTCCCATAGCAGGAAATGGCAGGGTGATCACCAGTGTCTCCTCATCATCACATTCCAACCAGGTAGAGTCCAGACTTTGGAACACGCTCCTGACCCTGTACTCCTGACCACTGTTTACCTCTCTGGTGGAAGATGACCATCTATCCTGGTTTACACTTGCTCTTCCAACTTGATTGATAATGAGTATCTCCACTTGCCGCTATTTTCATTCTCAGAGGTTTTGCAATTAGGAGAAAAATTCGTGTATCCTCTTTAAGTAGCTCTCAGTAGTTGTTTATACAGCAACATAATCTGAAATTTCTTGGGAAATCCTTGTTGATTAGGATCATTTCAATAAGACTAGCTCAACAAAGTAAAATGGATACTTAAAATAGCTGCAGAAAAGGAAAACCCGGATATTGTAAAGTTAAAAATGATAACCATTGTCTAAGCTCACTTAGTTGTCTAAAAGAGCTGGAGGGATATCAGTATGCTTCAAAGAAATTCTTAATGCTTGCATCATATGTCTGGGATATATTAGAATAGAATTACTTTTACTCAATAGATTGTATTTTATTAACTCTGAGTTCTGCTAGGATCCACTCTTGAATCTATAATTAGATGTACATATTTGATTATTTTTTTAGCCATATTGCAATGATCACCTATTTTCTATTCTTTTGTGTACTCCTGCGAAAGTGCTAAACAATATTTTGTATGTATTTCAAGTTGAACATTCTGTGATAGTAAATTCACTCTTGTGCTTATTTTCTTTGCCATGAAGGTATATGGTAAAAAAGTAGATGGACAGCAGACCATTATTGCATGCATAGAAAGCCATCAGTTCCAAGCAAAAAACTTTTGGTAAGTTATAATTTTGAGTATTAGGGAAATTTTGATGTTACAATATTTACAATTCTTTAGTGATTATATACCTTGTTTTTGTGTGATTGACTACAAGTAGTCTTAATCTATCCAATAATATGAACGTAGCATGGACTCAGTTAAAGAACTCAGGTGGCTTAGTGATAAAGTGTTTCACTGTCAACGCAAAGGAACCCAGTTTGAATCTGCTATCTGCACCATGGGAGAAAAATGTGCAGTCTCCTCCCTTGCAATCTATAACCTTTCATACCCAGTTGGAGGGCTGGCTGTGACTTGACAAAACATAACAGCAACAACATTTAATCAGTTGATAGTCAGTGAAAAAAAGGGTGTGGGAGAGAGAACCAGGCAGTTTTTAGAAACCAAGCTGCATCCTAAGATGCATATGTGCCTGAGAGCAGATGACTTGGCAGGCCCTGTGTGCATTCTGAGTAGGGGTGGCTCCTGAATGAAACGTACATGAGGGGAGCAGAGGTAATTACAAAGTAAAGAACAGTGCTGCTTTTTGGAGTTCTGAAGTAGCTATTTTTGAAGAGATTTCTTTACCCTTGGTTTGCCAGTGGTTAAAAAGTAGCATCATGTTTTATTCAGTGAAGCAAATTAAATCATGCCTTGTAATTTTGATCGTTTCTTTAAAAAGTTTACCCTCAAAACACAAACCTGCCTTATTAATCTTGATAATTTGTTGACCTTTTTGTTTTTGAACAAGACTGTTTCTATACTGGTTTCCTATTATAAGTCTCGGGGTGTTCCTCAAGACTTTGCAAGTTCAGAATTGAATGCATTCTTTCCCCACCTTTATCCTTCTTTCTTGTAAAATACATGCAGAGGCTCATTAGAGTAAGTATAATCGTGATAAATACCTGTGCTAATCTTTGATTTGTTGGCTACCTTGGATTTTTGGTACTTTTGCGGATAAAGTAATAGGTAACAGTAATGTCTATGGACTACTTTGGTCCAAGCTCAAGGTTACTCTGCTGCTTAACCATTTCAGAAATAAATGCAAGGTTAACTCGGAATGATTGGAGGAATGTAGATCTATCTTCACTGAAGGAAAATCAGTTCCATAGTAATCATGTGCCATCATTAAAAGCTGCTTTCTCTTAAACCTTCTACTGTTCAGAGTTACATTTATGGATTTAATGTGTTTGTATAGTTTAGACCTGAAAACTTCTAGCTCTCATCTACCAGAATCCTGCAATCATAAATCTCACAAAATCATTATTAATTCATGCTCTTTGTGTCAGGGGACTTACAATAAAGTCAACCTTTTTTAGAATTACAGATATTATAATACATTGACTAAGAAGTTTTTAAAAATATAATTCCTTTGAACTTTAACATGTATACAATTGTAAAATGTGTCTTTGAGTTTCCACACTACTTATCTGAGTATTTTCTTTCTCAGCCTGCACTATGAACATTGTATAATTGAAGTTAGAATAATAATTTTCTGCTCTGGAAAAGATTCATTTCATATGACTTTCTAAAATATTGATTATTGTGTGAATCAGTCTCAGTAAAATCTAAATGTTGTTTTTATTTAAAGAAAAATACTTTACTTTGCGTGCACACACACAGAGTGGGATAAAACCAGAAGACACTAGTTTTGGATGTTTCTTAGACTTCACTTGGAGCTTTCAGTTTCTACAAAACCTTCAGCAGCCTGCATTTCATCAAATTGTGTGTCCATTTTCTTCCCTTTTCCACTATCCCACCAACTTCAGCATACCCACAGTGCACCCCAAGCAAAAACTTCTTTTAAGCTTTCTTCACTTGATCCAGTCAGGTGCCCTCAGGCTGGTCCCAGTCCTGGGGACTTTTATGTACAGCAGAGGAAACCTTGTGCCTTTCCCCAACCCTGTGTTGGGTCCCATTGTTGCAGCCACTGTGCCAGTCCATCTCATGGAAGGGCTTCTTTTATTATTGACCCTCTACTCTACTAGGCATGCTGTCCTTCCCCAGGCATTGGTTGTTTTTGATAACATGTTCAGAGTACATGCAGTGAAAACTTATTTTCCCCACTTCAGAGGAGCAGAGTTCTGACACTACTTCTTCTGAGACAGACTTGTTCATTCTTTAGTAATCTGCGCTATATTCCGTGGGGACTCTGGTGGCCTCGTAAAGGGCTCTGCTGCCCTTGTAAATGGTTCCACTGCCACTCCAAGGCACACAGTTGAATCCACTAGCTGCTCTGTGGGAGAAGGATAGACAATCTCCTCCCTTGTACTTCACTGCCTCTGAAAACCCACGGAAGGGTCAGCTGTGAGTTAGTTTTGACTCAGTGGCAGCTACAGCAACAAACAGAACAACATCAGTATATTTGGTATTCATCACCAATGCCTTCATTTCCTGGGATCAGCTTTTCTATATTCTTTATTTGTTGTCCAACCTTCTCATTCCTGGGAGACAATTGAAAATACCATGTCTAGGTTCAGTTTCATTTGAATCCTCAAAGTGACATTTTTGGTTTATTAATTTGTTTCTTGGCTGTTGCCTCAATGGGTGTTAATTATAGATCTAATTAAAATTAAATTCTAGACAACTTCAGTCTTTAACTCCATTTATTATGATGATGTTTTTTTGGTCTGGTTGTGAGGACTTTTTCCCCCCCTTTGTGTTCACATGTATAATCCAGACTGAAGGTTATAGTCTGATCTTCATCATTAAATGCTTCAAGGATTTTGAAGCTCTGTCTTACATACTTTGGCATGTGGCCAGGAGGGACTGATCCTTCGGGAAGGATACCATGTTTGGAAGGGTAGAGAGTAAGCACAGAACAGGAAGATGCTGGATGAGAAGGATTGACACAGTAACTGGGGTAGTGGGAGTAGATATCTTGGAGTCAGTGAGACTGGCTCAGGACAGGGCAGGCTTCAGAGCTGTATTGCATAGGGTCACTATGAGTTGCATGCAATTTGATGGCAAGGTTTTTTGAAACAAGTTTTATTTGGTTTTGGTTTTGGTTTTGGCCAATGCCTTCAGTGCAGTTTGAACTTCAGGCACTATCACGCTACCTCCTGGAATGGTTGAACACATTCCATCTAGTTCTTTCTGGTATAGGAACTGTATTTTTTAATGTTTCCAGAATTTAATATTTTGTACATAGATTCATTTAGTATTGCAAGTCAGTGTTTGAATTGTTTTTCTTTAATTCTTTTAGCTTGAGAAATGCCAAGCACTATAGCTCTTTTTTTGGTTTTCTAGCTCTAGGTTTTTGCACATTTCATTATTATATTCTACTTTGTTGTCTTGAATGACCTTTGAAAGCAGCTCTTTTACTTCATCATGTCTTTCATTCTTGTAAAAAGAGCAAGGACCACTTGGGGAGCATTACACCTGACCTTTACCAACTTCCCAGGGAGAAACCATCCCCGTCCCCAATATTAGTGACACAGAACGCATTTCTGTGAGGTTAGACATGTCCCCCATGCTCCCATACCCTCTATACTCATCTCAACACCAGTTTTACTGCTTTGCTGGGTCTAAAATCTGATGTGATAACTCACAGACCACACAGAACCATATTTGGGGAGTTAAAAGTTTATAATCTAGATTAATAACCAAATATGGTCCAGACAGCTCCCTAAATGTTCACGCAGGCACCTCAACCTCAAGCCTTGTGGCTCCTAAGTGTGTCCAAGTTCTTAGTCCTGCCAATATTGTCTTCCTTCCCTAATTGTCCAAAAAAGTTCTCCGTCCTGCCAATATTGACTGTCTACCCAACTGTCCAACAAAGTTCTCAGTCCTGCCCATATTGGCTTCCCCTCTTCCAAAGTCCCATCTCACGTCAGTTCTCCAGTTCAGCCATGGCAGCTGCTGCTGTCCTGAAGTAGGTCCTACATTCTCCTGCCTTCTCTTCACTAGAGTGGGGGAAATCTTTTTCCTTTTCTCTAGCTGGGAAGGATTTAGATTCTTCTAGCTAGTGTTGTTCAATTTATTGGCAAGAATTAGCCAATCTTTTGGTAACTTGAGACTGGCCAGTTCTCTTGTGGAATGGTAGACAGCCAGTCCTTTTGTGGATAAGCCAACATGCCCCATTTGCATAGGCCCCCACAGCCACGTAGTCATCCACGCTAGAAAAGCCATTATTGAAAACCATACTCTGTAATTCTCTTCAACTGCTTTGTTCAAGAGCAAGTTTCAGACTCTTTTGACATCCATTTGGTCTTTTCTTTCCTTCCTGTGTTTTTTAAAATGGTATTTCACTTTCTCTAAATATCCTTCATGTCATCCCACAACTTATCTAGTCTTTAATTAATGTCCATTGAATGAAATGTATCATTGAAACAGTCTCTAAATTCAAGTGGCATATACTCAGGTTTGTGCATTGGCTATAGTGGGCTTGTTTGTAATTTTCTTCAACTGCAGCTTGCACATCAGCACATGATACTTGTTCCTATCAATCCTTGATCTTCCTACGCCCTTCAGATGATACTGAGCTTCTCCATTGGCTATTATCCAGTGAGGTGCATATGTGTTACTGGCATATATATTTTTTTGGTAAAAGGTATTTGTGATGAATAAGTAATTGGTTTTTGCATAACTGTGTCACACAGTCTCTTATTTCTATCACCAAGGGCATATTTTCAGCTACTGATCCTTCTTTTCTGTTTCTAACATTTTTAAAAATTTCTATTATTTGTGTGTGTGTGTGTGTGTACTGTCAGATTGGATCTGACTGGTACAGGAGGAGATTGCTGTCCTTCCGTCTCCAGCAGAGCATCTGATGGATTCAGACTGCTTACCTCTGTGATTGCAGTGCAGCTTCTTGTCACTAGGCCACCAGAGCTCTCCTAGTTTCTAACTTTTTGCATTCCAATCAAAAATTACTGGAATATATAATTTTTTTAGAAATTTATTATTTTTCCATTGTATCATTAACAGTATTGATTCAGGATGGATCTTGACAAAAAAATCTGATACCATTCTTATCCAGTATGTTTTTCCCAGCATAGTAAGGTGTATGTTTGTTCCTCCTTCCCTTGATAATCACTAATTACTATTCTATCTGCATATTTGCTTATTTCATGTAAGTGATATCATGCATTGTTGTTGTTATGTGCCATCAAGGCACCTATGATTCCTAGTGATCCTGTGTAGAACAACTCTGAAGCCTACCCTTTCCTCTCTGACTCTGACACACTTAGTCCCATTACCCCAGTTACTGTGTCAGTCCTTCTCATCCAGGTCTTCCTCTCCTGCGCTGTCCTTCCATCATTGCAAGCATCATGCATTTCTTCAAGAACTGACCCCTTCTGGCCACTTGCCCAAAGTATGTGAGACTAAGCTTCAAAATCCTTACCTCCAAGGAGAAACTTGGTTTCACCCTCTCTAAGACAGACCTCTTTATTTTCTTGGCAGTCCATGGAATGTTCAGTACTTTTTTCCAGCACCACAACACAAAGGCATCAATTCTTTGTTATCCTTAGTTACTGTCCAACTGTCTGATACATAGCAAGGAATTGCAAGGATGATAGCCTACATTAGGCACACCTTAGTCCCTAGACTGACACCATTACTCATTAGCACTTTGGAGAGGTCTCTCACAGCAGACTTCCCAGTATGATTTGTCTTTTGATTTCCTGGCTCCTGGTGCCAGTAGTGTTGATTGTGAAGCCAAGCAAGATGTAATTGTTAACAACCTCAATCTCTTCGCCATCTATCATGGTACTGCCAGTTGGTCCAGAGGTGAGAGTCTTTGTGATGTCATATAGTATTGTCCTTTTGTAACTGACTTACTTCCCTCAGTATGTTGTCTTCGTGGTTTGACCTGGTTATAGCAAGCATCAGGACTTCACTCTTCCTTATGTTCTATGATTCTTCAGCATTCATCATTTGGTGGACATTTTCATTGTTTCCTTCTTTTTGATAGTGTGAATAGGGCTGTATCTAACATTGGTGTGTGTACATCTGTGTCACTACTTGTAGTTCTTTTGAGTGTATGCCTAAGAATAGAATGTCAGGATAATGTGCCACTCTATTTTCTACTTAGGCTGCACCAGTATAGATTCCCACTAATAGATGATTGTTCTTGTTTCCCTGCACCTACATCAACATCTAGTGTGTGTGTGTGTGTGTGTGTGTGTGTGAGAGAGAGAGAGAGAGAGAGAGAGTGTGTCCATTTCATGTTGGGCTCCTAACCAGAAGGTTGGTAGTTCAAATCCACCAGCTGCTTGACTGGGAAAAAAAAACAGGCTTTTCCCTCCTCCCATAATGATTTACAGCTTTAGAAACCCAGTGCAGGGTCACCATAGGTCAAAATCAGCTCAGTGATAATAGTGGGCTTGGGTTTGAGATGATATCTCAATGTGGTTTTGATTTGAATTTTTCTAATGGCTGGTGACTTTTAGCAACTTTTAATTTGCTTATATATCCTCTTTGGAAATATTTATGCAAGTCCTTTTTCCAGTTGTTTTACTGAAATTGCCTTTTTGTTTAAGTTTAGTATATATTACAATTTTGCATATTAGATCTGTATTATTGTTGTTATGTGCCGTCAAGTCTCTTGTGACTCATAGCGACCCTATGTACAACAGCCCTAAACCCTGCTCTGTCCTGTGTGAGTCTCACTGTCTCCTACACCCCCACTCCGATTATCCCAGTCACTGACTCAGTCTACCTCATAGAGGGTCTTCCCCTCCTGTGCTGTCCCTCCACCCTCCCAAGCATGATGTCCCTCTCCAAGGACTGGTCCCTCCTTGCAACATGTCCAAAGTATATTAGACAAAGCCTCAGAATCCTTGCCTCCAAGGAGCAGCCCAGTTTAACCCTCTCCAGGATGAACCTGTTTGTTTTCTTAGCAGTCCATGGTACATTCAGTACTCTTCTCCAACACCATAGCTCAAAGGCAACAATTCTCCTTCTGTCCTCCCTAGTCATTGTCCAACTCTCTGACGCAAAACAAGCGATTCCAAAGATCATGGCCTGTATCAGACACACCTTAGTCTCCAGAGAGACACCATCTCTCTCCAGCACTTTGGAGAGGTCCCTAACAGCAGACTTTCCCATCACAACACGTCTTTTAATTTCCTGGCTGCTGGCGCCAATAGTGTTGACTGTAGAGATAAGCAATGACTGAAAACCAAAACACAAAGGAATTTTTAAAATTTGTATAATCCAAATTAGAGAAAATTATGAGTTGAAGCTCTGGGCTTATAAGACTTAAGAGAGACATGCTCCACTCTTTCAGGAGCGTGATGTGTGACATTAGACTGCTAGAATTATGCAATTACACATACTCAAAGTAGTATCATTGGTTGCTATGCAGTCAAAGTGTTCTTGTTTTCTGAAAGGGAGATTACGTTTCTAGCAAAGCTTTACCCTGTAATATTTCACATTCCCGTTAGCACTCTGGTTTGCCGACATTTAAAAAAACTCTGGTCGATTCTGGTGTCATGACTAAATCAGGCTGACCGGATGGAAAGCCCTGATCTGAACATTTATTAACTAAAACATTTATTTGTAAACTTAAAAATAAATTATTAAAAAAGTAACAAGCCCTTACCCTTAAAAAAACTTTGTATTATTTAGTTTTGTGCTATATTTTAAGCATTAATTTTAGAATCTTGAAGTTGCATCATTATTTCTTGTTTGGGGTTGGTTTGGGTGGTTTTTCTTTTATAAGAAAAAAAAAAGTAAATGGAGCTCATAACTAAACAATCTTTAATTCTTTCTAATATGGGTCACGATTTAAAAATTAATGCTTAACATCCACCTCACAGCCTACTACTCATACTTAATACATTAAATGTAAATTTGAAACTTAAAATTTATTTATTTTCCCTACCTTATTTACAGCTGCTGTTTTTATTTTTAAGGAATGGTCGTTGGAGGTCAGAATGGAAGTTTACAATCACTCCTTCAACCACTCAGGTGGTTGGCATCTTGAAAATTCAGGTAGGAGATTTTAAAGTATTTCTTTACTGACCGCTAGATGACTTTGAACACAGAAGTTAACGAGTTCCTAAATTGAGATTTTCATAGGACATCATAGCCATTTCATTTCCAGATCTTTGTTTTGAGGGTAATGGAAAAAGCAAATGATCCTAATTTCATCTTTTAGATAGCCTTGTGTTTCATTGCCTGGTAACCAGAAGTCTACAGAGACAGCTGCCAGATTCTAAAAACATGATTATGCAAAGACATTTGACTGTGTGGATCATAACAAACTGTGGCTGACTCTGAGAAGAATGGGAATCCCAGAACATTTAATTGTGCTAATGCAAAACCTGTACTTGGATCAAGAGGCAGTAGTCAGAACAGAGCAGGGTAACACTGCATGGTTCAAAATTGGAAAGGGTGTACGCCAGGGATGCATCCTGTCTCCATACCTTTTCAACATGTATGCAGAGCCGATTATCTGAGAAGCTGGGCTCTATGAGGAGAATTGTGGCATCAGGATTGGTGGAAGATCTATTAACAATCTGCGTTATGCAGATGACACAACCCTGCTTGCTGAAACTGAGGAGGACCTCATGCACTTGCTGCGAAGGGTCAAGGACTGCAGCCTTCAGTATGGACTAAGGCTCAATGTCAAGAAGACAAAGATTCTCGCCACTGGACCAATTGGCAGCGTCAGGTTGGATGACGAAGAGATTGAGAGTGTTCACAGCTTCAGTTTGCTCGGCTCCACAGTCAACACTCTTGGTACCAGCAGTCAGGAAATCAAAAAGCGGATCGCGATGGGAAAGTCTGCTTTTGGGACCTCTCAAAGGTACTCAGGAGCAACAGTGTCTCTCTGGAGACTAAGGTGCGCCTGATACAGGCCATGGTCTTTGCAATCGCTTGTTATGCATCAGAGAGTTGGACAGTGACTAGGGAGGACAGAAGGAGAGTGGATGCTTTTGAGCTGTGGTGCTGGAGAAGGGTACTGAATGTACCATGGACTGCCAGGAAAACAAACAGATTCATCTTGGAGAGGATTAAACCAAGCTACTCCTTGGAGGCAAGGATTCTGGGGCTTTGTCTGACATACTTTGGACATGTTGCCAGGAGGGACGGGTCCTTGGAGAGGGACATCATGCTTGGGAGGGTGGAGGGACAGCGCAGGAGGGGAAGACCCTCTATGAGATGGATTGATTCAGTGACTGGGGTAATCGGGATGGGTGTGTCAAGGGCAGTGCGGTTGGCGCAGGATAGAGCAGGGTTTAGAGCTGTTGTGCATAGGGTCGCTATGAGTCGGAAACGACTCGACGGCACATAACAACAACAACAACAATATTAGATGCTGCTGTTTGCTCTGCTCTTCATACAGCTGCTTCATCCAAGCATCTTCTGAGTTTGATTTGTGCAATTCTGTCTTCTGAGTTGGGTGAAATACAATATTCATGTGTATAAATATATATTTTTAAATATGTGTGTATGTTAACATAGATATATTATTTTTAAGTATCTTTTATACTCATTTTTTAAATAAAACTCACTAGAATCAAATTTCTTATGAGTTCAAGTTTAAAATAGAAAAACGATTGATAGTTGTGTTATTTGAAAATAAGTATATCAATAATTTAAAGGAAAATACTAATTTTTGTTTCTGTCGTGGTTCACTTATTTATTCAGTACATTCATTAATAAACTGTCTTGAATGGTATTGTCTACTAAAAGCTATAAACAAATAGAGATGAAATCAGATATTGCTGTTCCGTAATATGACTCCAGTATTTATTTTCAGTTGTATGACTGTCTCTTAGGTACTAGAGATTTTAAATTAAAAACATAGATTATTTTCAAATTAAACTGCCCAAGTTTGAATCTCAGCTCTGTTATTACTCATGTAACAACAGGAAGTCATTTTTCTGTTTGTTTACTCTTTGTTTTGAAAAAAAAAACACTCATAAATTCATTAATATGAGTTAAATTTTACATCATTCCATTCTGCCTCAGGTGAGGCCTTATTCCCGCTCACTGGGATCATCACAGCAGTTTCTAAAAGGGCCGTTCTGTTGGACCAGCATGCAGAGAGCATGGATTATATCTGGTTCACAGTTCTTACCCAGAACTTAGCATGGTGCCTAGCATATATTGTTTTATATATATATTTTGTTGTGGTGGTGGTGGTTGAATTGCGAGGAGCTTTGCCATTCCTTAATCTCTTTTTCACATTGCAATCAGAAACAATTCATTTCTCTTTTTCTATCAGTCTGGGTCATTTGCCTGCTTAAGACATTTTACTGGAACTGGCTACCTACCAGATGGTTCACATATATTTGCATGACACATAAGATTCAAAGTTGACTTGTCCCTTACTTGTGTATTCCTCTTTTTTCTCTCTCAGCATCACACATACAGTTCAGCTATACCTGCTTCCACTTCTTTCCATAATATGTTGTTCTCAAAGCTTAAAACACCCTGTATTCCTTGGTCCTACTCAATTTGGTAAACAATAATGCCTCTTTTCTGAAATATTTTTTTCATCCCTCAAAGATAGTCTGAAGTTTATGTTTACCTTAGCATGTTGCATTGAAATACAAAGTCAAGGAACTTGTTAAAGCTATGAAGAACCTTTAATAATAGCAGGTGTTTACAACAATCACTCAGTTAATGTTTGCATTAATTCATTTGCATTTGTGAAATAAATAATAGTGGTAAATACAAAAAAATAGCAGCAGCATGTGGGAGGGGTAATGGGGAATTCCGTTTTGAACATCTTGTGTTTAGGTACCCATGGACTGTGAGGTAGTGGACATTTCTACCTAAAGCAGTTAGATCGGTTAAAAGCATGCCTAGATGAAGTGCCAGGACTTCTAACTAATGTCCTTTCTAGACTGATGGTAGAAGAGTTGCTTGAGTTTAAAGGGCCCTAGAATACCACAGCGAAGTCTAAGCTGGAGCTGAAAGTGGAAGTCATCTACATTGATGTAATTGTTGAAGCCATGAGCATCTTGAGAATCCTGTAATACAGTTCCTATAATTTCTTTTTCTAACAGGTTCATTATTATGAAGATGGTAATGTTCAGCTAGTGAGTCATAAAGATATACAAGATTCCCTAACAGTGTCTGTAAGTACTTCATTCCAAAATAAAGTACACATTGGATTAGTACGTTTTTAAAATGAGAAGTATTTTGAATAATATTTCTGCTTCAGATTAATGAATTTTCAGAGACTAAACGTGGTAAGTAATTGGAATTCTGTAAATTTTTAGCAGCTTTGTTGTTGTTGTGAGCCATTGAGTAAATTTTATCTTACAGCTGCTTTATATGAGAACCAAGTAGAACTGGGTTTCCTATGCAGGTCAGCAGATCTTTTCCCATCGTGCCCCTAATAGGTTCAAACCACCAACATCTTTGTTAGCTTAATCATTATACCTCTAAATATGTTCAGTCAGATGTTACTTGTATACAAGAAACTTTCTTATACTTCCATATAAGAAGGCTATAATTGTCATCTTTTTAATTAGCACATACATGATTTATACTTTTGTGGTAAGTGGTCTCTTCTTGTAAAATAAATTTGTCCATAAAATTATTTGTGAGAGGAGGCTGTAGCAATTAAGCTTTACTATAGGAACTGCACTGAAGGCCTTGGCAACATGTTTCCCACTTGCAACCCTGGACACACTCACCAGTCTATGCCAGGAAATTTAGAGGACAGTTGTCTGGCCAACAGACTGGAAGAGATCCATATTGTTCCGATTCCCAAGGAAAAGTGACCCAAAAGAATGTGGAAATTATCAAACAGTGTCTTTAATATCACATGCAAGCAAAATATTGCTGAAGAGCATTAAAAAATGGCTAGAACACCACATGGACAGAACTGCCAGATGTTCAAGTTGGATTTAGAAGAGGCCATGACACCAGGGCTGTCATTGCTGATGTCAGAGGAATCTTGGCTGGAAGCAAAGAAAACGAGAAGAATGTCTGTTTGTGCTTTTTTGACTATGTAAAGATGTTTGACTATGTGGATCATAGCAAATTATGGCTATAATTGAGAAGAATGGGAATCCCAGAATACTTAATTGTGCTCATGTGAAACCTTATCTACACAAAGAGGCGATTGTGTGAACAGAGCAAGGGAACACAATATGGTTTAAAATTAGGAAAAGCGTACATTAGGGTTTTATCCTTTCTCCATACCTATTTATGTGAAGCAAATGATATGAGGAGTCTATGAATAAGAATTGACTCTGAAATCAGGATTAGAGAAAGACTCATCAGGCTTCATTATGCATATGATATAACCTTGCTGCTTGAGTGAGGGGGTCTTGAAGCACTTGCAGAGGATCAAAGACTGCAGCCTTCAATATGGATTGCATCTTAACATCAAGAAAACAAAAATCTTTGCCACTGGATTGATAGGCAACATCATGATAGATGGAGAAAAAGATTGAAACTATCAACAACTTCATCTTAGTTGGATCCACAATCAGGACACTTGGTACCAGCAGTCAGGAGATTATAAGACATATTCTACTTGTAAATTCTATAGTCAAGGACCTCTTCAAGATTGTTGATGAGGAATGATGTCAGTTTGAGGGCTAAGGTGCACCTGATTCAGGCCATTTTCTTTTCAGTCACTTGCTATGCATCTCAGAGGTAGACAGTTACCTAAGGATGAAAGAATAAATATGGTGTTGGAGAAGAAAATGAAATATCCCATGGACTGCCAGAAGAACAGACAGATAAGTCTTGCAGACGGTGTACCCAGAGTGCTCTTTGGAGGCAAAGTTAATAAAGTGTCACCTCACAGACTTTGGGCATGTTCCGAGGAGAGATTATTCCTTGCAGAAGGGATATCATGCTTGGAAAGGAGGAGGGATGTCAAAGGAGAGGAAGACCCTCAACCAGGTGAATTGACAGAGTGATTGCAGCAGTGGGCTTTAGTGTGTCAGATTTTGAGAATGGCTCAGCTTAAGACAGTTTAGATCTGTTGTTACAGGGTTATGCTTGACAGCAGTTAACTTTTTACAGACTGGGCAGCTAGCTGAAAGAGTTTGAATTCACCTGCTTTTCTGTGGGAGAAAGATGGACAGTCTCTCATGCCTTAAAAGATTTACACCCTCCAAACTCCATGGTGGGTCACCAGGAGTCATACTCACATCCATGCCAGTGAGTTAATGGGCGTCTGTGGCCCTAATTGTTTAGAAATGCATTTTGTGCTAAAGTGTTTGCATTACAATTTTTAGAAGAGAGGAGAAATTTTATAAAGTCACAAAATTAAGAATACTATTTTCTAGAAAGTCTTAACTTTCCATTAATTTTACTTTAAGGGCAAAGTAAAGGTAAAAAAAAATCCACAAAATACTTAAACTGTGGAATAAAAGCTAATCTTGAATTTTTAAATACACTCTTTCTTGTAGGTAATAAGTTGTTCACCTATCATTTTGGTGGTAGATTTTGTTCACTGGGGGCATCTGGTAGTCCATAGGGAGTTGTACTGCTAACCCAGAGACCATTGAACGTAGAATAACTCAACTTAGGGAGCTCTGGTGGCCTAGTGGCAAGAAGCTGCACTGCAATCCCAGAGGTACATGGTTCAAATCCACCAGATGCTCTGCCGAAGGAGGAGCAATATCCTCCTGTACCAGTCAGATCTGATTTGACGGTACATGCACACAAAATAATAAAAAATTAAAAAAATAAAAAAAAAAAATAAGTCAACTTATTTTCCAGAATTTCTATGATATGTATTAAATTATATTATAATTAACCATACATATATTGATATGCATTTTGAGAAATGATTAGTTTTAAATGACTTTTCATTTGCTTCCCCTCCCCAGAATGAGGTGCAAACAGCAAAAGAATTTATAAAGATCGTAGAAGCTGCAGAAAATGAATACCAGGTATGATTTTCAAATGAATTATATAACCTTGTGATGGACTTTTGATATTTATACTAATTTATGAGGAATAGCAATTAAATTTTAAGTATCAATTTTTCCAAGGCAAACTTGGGAAAGTAAATTTTAAAAAAGGACAGGTAAATTTAATTCAAGTAAGCTTGCTTATTTTACTAAGTTGTGGTACTGGAGAAGAGAGTTGAGGGTACCATGGACTGCTAGGGAAAAAAACAGATTCATCCAGGAAAGGGTTAAACTGGGTGGCTCCTTGGAGGCAAAGATTCTGAGGCTCTGTCTAACACACTTTGGACATGTTGTGAGGAGGGACCAGTCCTTGGAGAAGAACATCGTGCTTGGTAGGGTGGAGGGACAGCGCAGGAGGGGAAAGGCCTTCTATGAGGGGAATTGATTCAGTGACTGGGTAATCAGGATGGGTGTATTGGAGACAGTGCGATTGGCACAGGACAGAGCAGAGTTTAGGGCTGTCGTACATAGGGCCGCTATGAATCGCAGGTGACTCGACAGCACTTAACAACAACAACAGGAAGCTTATCGCAATGCTGAGATTGTGAGGATGGTGCGAGCCAGGGCCTGTTCTGATGTGTGTGCTAAAGGGCCACTGAGTTGGAATCTTCACCCAACAGGAGAAAGACTCGGTTTCAGGCAGCTGCAATTGCTTATTATTGAAGAGATATGCCAGATGTCGAATGTTTATAATTGGAAATTTTAACTTGGTGATTTCTGAACCATTTGGATTATATGTTATCTGCTCAGCTATTATTCTGTGCTCTACTTTTCATATTATCTAAACTACTCTCTTGAAATAAAGCATTTAATTTGTGAATTGGGCAAGTTTCTGCTGCTTGCAAACAGTAATGTATAAACTTGAACTTAGTGAAATAATAAAATGAGTTCTAAAGGAAAGCCTACTAATATTCAATATAATTGTTTTAGTTCATTAAATTTAATTATTCTGAATTGTAACCTTTCCATTTTACTTTAATCTGCTCTTGGAAGCATCTTTATTTTGAAACTGATAAAAGCGTTATTATTTAAAAGCAGTGAAACAAACTTTAAAGATGAGGTAGAAACCTTAAGGGGGCACTGAATTTATGTTGCTAGAGCAAGAACAATTTAGAAGAGTAAGAATGGTTGCATAACTCAGGACTTAATCCACATCATTGAATCATACATATAGTAATAGTTGAATTGGTATTTGTTTGCTGTGTATGGTCTCACCAAAAAAAATTAGTAAGTAAAAGCACTGAAAATTAAATATATAAAATAAGTCAATAAAAGCAGTGAAACATACTGCTTAAACAAAGGTTTTACAAAAAGCATTAGTGTGCTTATAAGTTGTTCCACTGCATTCATTCACTTTAATCTTCTAATTCAATTTTCCCCAGACTGCCATCAGTGAGAATTATCAGACCATGTCGGACACTACTTTCAAAGCCTTACGTCGACAGTTGCCCGTTACGCGCACGAAGATTGACTGGAACAAGATTCTTAGCTACAAGATCGGCAAAGAGATGCAGAATGCATAAGATGAACATTGCATGACTGGATCATTTTAGTGTCTTTGCGTTTATTAAAAAAAAAAGTATTGCAAAAGTATTCAGAACTGTCAAGCTGCCCAGTCAGATGGGCTGTTGCCATTTAAATCACTGTAATTAATTAGTTTGGTTAGAGCACAAAGCTTAGCTAATCAACCATTATTTTTCATTTCTGTTGTTCAGAAAGGATTGAAAATCAGTTTAGTTTAAATGTATTTTAATTTCTGTTAGACCTTTCTTTCTTCAGAGAAAGTGGTGATTTCTCTAGCTTAAGGTTAAAAGTTTTTGAACTATTTCAAAACTATTTTACTTACTGTAACCCTGAAATTACTGTCTTTTTGGCTTATGAAGAGGGTAACTTTTGATATTTGCCCAGTGATTTTTAATGGGGTCAATAATGGATATCTTAGTTTAAGGTGGTTGATGGATTTAGCCATATATGCTGCTAAAGAAATTGTCTACCTTTTCCCCTCACCTCTCCCATGTATGTAAGATTGAGATTTAGAGGGAAAACATTTTCTATATCAATTGTGTTTAAACCTTACAAGAAGGTTATTTAGCTGGCTTAGTGTTTAACTAAACTTTTTTTAAACAAGACCAAGGTCTAAGGCTGTTTTGAGATTCTGAAATTAAATGAAAATACTTGTTTCAGAAATGCATTTAATGCTTTTTTTTCTTGTGACAGTTACGCAAATTAGCTTGAATTTCATATGTCCCTGAGTTATTTTTATCATAAAGCCACAAATGTATTATAACAAGGCAAATTGTAATATATATAATCCTGAACTCATGACCATGTCTCAGTTGATTTTTTCTCTTGGATTGAAAAGTCCTGAAATTGAATGTGACATTAAAATGCAAATTTTCCTATTTATTTGGGTAGAAAAATCACATAACAGTGATCAGATACTATTTTAAAGGACTTTCTTTGGATAATGTGATTTTTAGCTGGTTGTAAATTAAACAAGCTGGGAATACATATGGTGTGCAGTAGCAGTCCAAAATGTTTCATATTCCTATGCATAATAAGCATGTTTGTAATATTTTAAAGAAACATTTATTGATGATACAGGAATTCCAAGCCTGTGATGAACATTAGTATTTTCTGTGGAGAGTGGGTGGATTTCTGGCTTCATTTAGTAAGGTATTGCTGAGATGAGAGTGAAATAGTTTTCTCACATAACCTCACAGATGCTTGGGGCTGGAATATTGTGTTTTGTTTTTTTTTAAAGACCACTTATTTACAATAAAATATTTCATTAGCTTGACTTGCATAGATTTTAAGCATTATTGCAACAAAATCATGTATTTCTTTTTAAAATCAGTGGTAGGCATTTAACAGTTTGGGAATATGTAATGTGAAGTCGTGACATTTTTAGTTACATTTTATTTTAAAATGCCTGTTTTGGGATTCCTAAAGAAGTTACTTGGTAAAGTTAGATATCTGCTATGTTTTTAAAAAGCCAGCAGTCTGGTAAGGATTCTGGACTGAGTATCAGATGAAGTTATGCTTCTTTAGATCGAGTGTGCTGATTGAGTTGTCATAAATGAGCATAACGTCAAATCCGTTCCTCTAGCTGTGTCTTATGATACAGAATATATCCTTTAAAACAGACACAGCTTTTTAAAGTGTTTGTATATGAACGGGAAGGTAGGTCAGTTTTTCCAAAACCAGGCTGAAACATTGCGACATCTGCATCCTTTATAGTCTAAAAATAGTATTTTATTCAAGTTGAAGGAAAATGGAAACCCATCATACCCTAAAGCAGACAGAATCAACAAGATTTACCAAGATTGTTGTTCTAAAATGTGCAGTGAAGAGAAATGTCAGGGATTTTGGGCTTGAGGAAGAGAAGAATTGGGGAAGATTCTGACAGGAGCAGATGGAGGGCGGTTAACCAAGTTTTAAGATTTCAAGAACAGTATCTTAGCTGTTAGATCAGAGAGCCAGAGGTACAGGAGTTGTCCTGGCTGGAAGAAAGGGAGAGTGAACCTGGGACATGGACAAAGCTAGGTGCTCATGCAAGATTCCAAAACCAAGCTTACTGCTATCGAGTCACTTCTGACTCCTAGCAACATCCGTGTTAAGGGAGGATCAGCTGAAGCCAAACTCCGTGAGGTCATTAGGCTTTTCTTCAGCCATACTGAACTGTGCTGGTGCAGACATAAAGAAATGATGGTTTGCTCAGAGAATTTGGCCACATGAAGAGAGAGCAAGGTTATAATGATTAGAATTCAAATAGGAAGGTAAGGACATGAGGAAGTTTCTGGGGCGTGCAAAGGGCTAACATATTTAACTGCTGACTAAAAGATTGGAATCCACCCTCAGGCACCACAGAAGAAAGGCCTGGTGATCTGTTTCTGTAAAACCCCCACGGAGCACATCTGATACCCATGAGGTCACCATGCAGTAGAATCAACTCAGACAGCTAAGAAGAACGAAGGAAGAGTGAAAAACTGGATTTGAGGTCTGTTTAGCACTCAGACAGACTAGAAGGGAGGAGTCGGGAATGCAGAACAGTTTAAGGAGTGGTACGCTCTGGCGTCCTGGTGGTGAGGAGTTGTGGTTGGCATCTAGGCTGCTCCTCAGGAGAAAGATGAGCAGTCTCCTCCCGTGGGATTTACAGCCTCCCAGTGTTTGCCTCTGATGGTAGATTTACAGCTACTGGAGGGTTAGCTATGAGTCAGTTTTGACCGTGGCACATGTAACAACAAACAACATGCTTAAGATTGGAATTTGGAGGGCCTGCCCTGACAAGTCAGGATCAGTACCAGCAGGAGCGTGATGAGCTGAGTCAGAACAAGGGGAAGTCGAGCAACATTGAGGCCTCACGTTGGAAAGATGTTTACATAGTGTTATTGCTGAGAATTACATGGAATTACATGCTTTGGCAAGTATGCTATTTTTCAGGACTGTCTTTGGATAAACATATTTATGGCCTAGATACGTGTGTGATAGGGATATTTTTAAAGTTCCTCATTTGTGATTTTGGAAGTGAAATATGCAGAAACAGTATTCATGTTCTGTAACCTGGAAGGAACAGTTTACTAGTGTTCTTGGAAATTGAGAATTTTAGGAAAGTTAAGACAGTTACTGGCAATTCTGTAACATTTCTGGGTATTCAAGTCCACCAGCAGGTGTTAAGGAGAAAAAGGAACAATCTCTTCTCGTGTGTTTTATAGTCTCCTCGTAACCTGCTAGAAAGTCATAGACCTGAAATATTCAGACTCTTTTTAAGTGAGCTTTGGGTTAATTTCATCCAGTCTTTGTTTTACACTTGTCTGGTGTTAGGTGCTGTCAAGTACGACTCATAGTGACCCTATGAACAGAAGATCTGAATCCTATCTTGCACCATCCTTACACTTCCTGATACACAAGAGCCTATTGCAACAGTTACCGTGTCAGTCCACCTGGTTGAGAGTCTTCCACTCCTTCAGTGACCCCACCCCCACCCTTCCAAGCATCATGTCCTTCTCCTAGGAATAGCAACTCCTAGCAATATGCCAGAAGTATGTGAGGTGAAGACTCATCATTCTTGCATCCAAAGAGTGCTACAGCTGCACCTTCTCCAAGACATATTTGTTCTTTTGGCCATTCATGGGATGTTCAGTGCTCTTCTCCAAAACCACAAACTCAAAGGCATCAATTCTTCTGTCTTCTCTATTCATTGTCTAGCTCTCAGTTGCATAGCTAGTGATTAGAAAAATTATGACCTGAATCAGATGCACCTTAGTCCTCAAACTGACATCATTCCTCTTCAATAATTTGGAGACGTCCCTAACTGCAGACTTTCCCAATACAAGATGTCTTGATTTCCGGACTGCTGGTACCAAGTCTGTTAATTGTGGTTCCAAATAAGATGAAGTTGTTGACAGTAACCATATTGAAAATAATACCATCTGTTTTTATTCTTTTGCGTTTGGGGTTACTGGAAAGTTAACAGTTTTTCACACAATCTGGAAAGAAGGCATACAATAATAATCAAATCAGCCACTCTTAAACAGGTTAAATCTTTACTTACTAGCTTGTGAATGTGAGTGGATGAATTGAGAGCACTCTAGTTAGCAGAAAACTGTTGAGAAAATAAAGTGGGGATATTTTAGAAGATTGATGACTTCCTGGAACATGTCAAATTCCCAGCTCTTAAATAAATTTCCAGTGTTCTTGTTCAAGGATACCCCTCCAAGACTTGCTGATGACAGTAACACACATTTCCTCTCAGCCTTCATATTTTCTGCTGCAGATTGTGGACTTCGCAGAATCTGGAACCTTCCATCCAGACTTGTACCTGAGACAGCAGCTAGTGTCCTGTGTCCAAATGTGTACTGGGGAGAAGAACCAAAGCATTCTGGCTCTTCAGTATAGCAGACACTCCAAGAAGAGGAATTCTTTCAACATTCACAGGAAAACATGGATCAGTGTTCAGGACATAGAAAGTTTCTCAAGTGAAGTAAAGACAGCCAGCCTGCCCATCTATGCTCATTTCCCCCCTCCAGGTATTCACGCAGGGAAAAGTGAAAGGAAATAAACCCCATGACAAAGCCTTGTAATGACAAAACAGTAGAAATATCCAGGAACATAAAAAATAATGAGAATGTGGTGTGTTCATATAATTGGGATAGTGTGCCACTGAACAATTCGCAGACTTCATGTGGCAACATACTATGTACATCTTGAGAGGAAGAAAAAACTCATTTTGTGAAAACATGAGCAGAGTATATATAAGTATTACATTTTAAAAGGATGTCTGAGGGACACAAGAATGAGGTTGAGGACCACATGTTTCTGAAGGAGCCATGGTGACATAGTCTATATGGAGTGGCACTGTTAACCCAAAGGCCATGCCTCTTTGGTGGTTCAAATCCACCTATAGCTCCTTGGGGAAAAGATAGGCAGTCTCCTCCCTTGCTATTTACAGCCTCAGAAACCCTATGGCTGATCAGCTACAAGTTGGTTTGAACTCAATGGCAAAAAGTTGAGTTTTTGAGAATAATGGTGTTGTGTGCCATTGAATTGATTCTGAGTCACTGCCACCTGACATGATAAAATAAGGCTGCCCCATTGGGTATTTCAGGTTAAAATCTTCAGGGAAGCAGGAACACTAGGTCTTTTCTTCCATGGGGCCACTGGAAGGTTTGAACCACCAAACTCCCTGTTAGCAGCCCAGAACTCTTTGGGGAACAGTGTAGAAAGATGTAATTATGTTTGTTTTAAAAGAGCAAGGGTCATGTGGGGATGATTATTTCTGACTTACCAACTTCACAAAGGAGGAACTGTCCCTTTCACTAGCATCAATAATATAAAACCAATTCCCATGATGTCAGACATGTCTCGCATGCTACTGTACCTCTTCCTACTCATCGTAATACTAATATTACTGCTTTGCTGGGCCCCAAATCCCATGTGATAGCTCAGAGACCACACAGAACCATATTGGGGAAGTCAAAAGTTTCTAATCCAGATTAATAACAATACTGTCAAGACAGCTCCCAAAATGTGCACACAGGCACCTCAGCCTTGAACCTCACAGCTTCAGGCCAATGTTCCCAAGTTCTCAGTCCTGCCAGTATTGGCTCTGCTGCCCCAAAGTCCCACCTCATGTGAGATCTCCAGTTTGGCCATAGGCGTGGCTGCTGTATGTGTAGCTGGAGCTTGAAGGGCGTCCTACATTCTCTTGCTTCTTGTTCAGTGGCTCCAGAGGATCTGTCTGCCTTGCACCACTTGCTTGCTCAATGCAGTGGTGAGACTAGTCAATCCTCTCGTAGATTGTTGAGACTGGTCAATCCCC